GGAAGTAAAGACAGAAGCCCTAGATAGGAGCTGAAGCAGAGAGCATGGAGGAATAGTGCTTACTAGATGCTTCCAGGATCACCATATTCAGCTGTCTTTCTCAAACAACCAGGCCCACCTGCCTAGGAATGGTGCTGACCACAGAAGGCTGTGTTCTCCATCAATTAGCAATCAAGGAAAAGTGCCACAAATACGTCCACAGGACAATCTAGTGAAGGAAGGCAATTTCTCAGTTGAGATTTTCTCTACCCAGATGTGCTGGACCATTCTGCTCCTTCAGCCAATAGCCTTTAAGATACCAGCCCACTTGGGCATGGTCTCTTATACTGTAAGAGCAGTGGTAAATGTGTGCCAGCTCTCTTGCTTCTGGCTCCTGCTTCCAGCTGCTAGACTGTCTTTCTGTTTGTGCAGAGGACTGTTGTAATGGGAGTCCCCTCTGTGTGTTGCTTTTCTTGGTTAATGAATAAAGAAACTGCCTTGACCTGATGATAGGGCAGAACTTAGGTAGGCGGGGAAGACAGAACTGATTGCTGGGAGAAGGAAAGAGTTGGAGAGAGGCCATGGATCTACCGCCAGAGTAAGACATGCTGCTTGAAACTTAGTCAATAAGCCACTGTCAGGTGGCGATACACAGATTAATAGAAATGGGATAAAATAAGATGTAAGAGTTAGCCAATAAGAAGTTAGAGCCAAGCAGTGTTTTAATTAATATAGTTTCTGTGTGACTATTTTGGTTCTGGGTGGCTGGGACGAACAAGCAGCCCTCTCCTTGCAACACAGATATGTTCAGTTGACAACCAAGATTAACCATCGCATCAGGGTATTAAAATATCCATCTTCTTCAACATTTATTTTTGTATTGTAAATACTCAAAATTCTTCTAGAATATACAGTAAGCAACTACTCAGTGTCAGAAACTTATTGCCAGATCTAAATCTATTTGGTATCAAATGGCACTTCTCTACACCCCCACCCCGTTTTCTCTTGTTGAAACACTTGTGTTATTTTACTCTCTACTTCTTAGGACCAAATTACTAGTTTTTCACACATTTGTGAGAGCATATAGTATTTGTGTGTTTGTGCCTGGATTATTTTGCTTTCTCTGGTGACTCGAAGTCAATGTTATTCTTTTCATCTTTGGTTTTTTTTTTTCAGTCATTTTTGAGGTCTTCTTATTTAGTGAGTTAAGTAAAACTTTACCATAAGCTTCTTAACTGTCTGAGAATTTGGGGCTAGATGAAGAGGGAACCATAATCCTTTACAGAAGTCCTGCTGACATATGTCCATCTCATTAGTGAACACAAGTGGAGTTGAGGCGTGAAAGCTCAAGATTCATCCACTGCCTTTTGGGGTTTGTCCTCATTAGGATTACTATTGCTATGATAAAACACCCTGACTACAAGCCAGTTGGGGAAGGAAAGGGTTCATTTCGCTTACATTTCCATAGTGTGACGTCCATTAGGGAAGGAAGTCAGGGCAGGAACTCAAAAAGGGCAGGAACACAGAGGCGGAAGTTAATGCAGAGGCCATGGAAGGGTAACTACTTGCTCCATGTGGCTTGCTCGGCTTGCCTTTTTATAGAAATCAGCACTACTAGCGTAGGGTTGGCTGGGCCAGCACAGTGAACTGGGCCCTTCCCCATCAATCACCAAGTAAGAAAATGGAATCCCAGCTTGCCTATAGCCTGATCTTATAGAGATATTTTCTCACTGGAGGCTCTTTCCTCTCCAATGACTCTAGCTTCTGTCAGTTTGACATAAAACCAGTCAGCAGGGGTTCTTCATTTTTCTGGCTTCCCCTCCTCATGCTATGACAAGAAGTTGATGAATGTCTGTGCTGAGGACGGCAGAAACCACCACCCTCTATTCTTAATGGACTTTTAATTGCTAGCAGATAATAGAAGACAAACTGAACACCGAGAGCAACAGTAAGTCATGTTCATCTTTATACATGTGTTCACACAAACTTGCACATGTAACTTCTTATCAAAACAAAGTATTTGCCATCAAAGATTGCACTGTAATTCATCCCTGACAGCGACAGGGTGCACACATAAGCAAAAAGAAGTAAAAAAAAATCAACAAGATAATGGGCATATTTTCAGAAATATAAATTTGGTATTAAAGAACTTCTTAAGGTTTTATTCAAATGTATACAGACGACAAGAAAACAGTTGAAAGAAGAAAATAACAGAACTCAGATTGACATTGTATATTAAGCTACTTTGAATTATCCAAACATTACTGAACTAAGCATGGGCCCTCTAGCTCAATAGTCACAATGTTAATGAAAAAAATCTCTACTAGTTATTCCCTACGATGCAAATGCACTCATTGATACGATTCTTAGTCTTGAATCATAAGCGTTGATGCTCATCTGGCATTTGTTCCTTGGTGCACCAAATCTCGAGAGATTTTAGGGGTTTGTTGATCCATCATCACAAGACTGAAAGGCACCTCTAATTTTGTGTTATTCAAAACAGTTTCTTCAGTTTGTGTTACTGAATTAGATATAATTACACCTAACACAGAAATGTGAGTGTTCTGTCAGAAAATGGAGCACCAGATTGACACAGGAAAAGACATGACCGTTGTCCGATGTCTAAAGCAATAGTAATGAATTGGGTTTTTAGTGAGTATTGTATTTGTGAACTGTGTACAAAGAAAGGTATCCTCATAATAAAGGTACACTTTTGTAGAAATATGCCATTATTTTACCATCATTAACAATATAGCTCAGAATCCTTGACTCTTCCAAGCTGTTGAAACCGTTCATATCCCTACAACAACACCAACATTACAAATTAGACAAAAAGCAGCTAGCTGGGAGATGCATACAGTATGAACCTATATGCATACAAACATGCCAAAAGTTGGTTTACCATCAATTTTTGTCCTTTGATGAAATAAACACTCATTCATTAGCAATGTAAATAGTGATGACAAAGGCACTTCCATTTATCCTGTAAATTTTCAGGAACACACCCTCACAGACTTCCAGTGTCTGTGACCAGCAGCCAAGAAGTGCAGAGAGTACAGTAATTTCACTATACAAGAACATTTTATAATCAGAGCTGCTTTTTTTCTCAAACATAAAATCAAAGAAAGTAAAAGTAGGAAGGAAGAAGAAATTTTATGAGTTATTTTTTTTTTAAGGAAAAAGTTGCTAAAAATTACGCAACTAGTCAACGGTGATACTGGCATCTAACTCCAGCTACCCTGAAGGCCAATTCTGAAGCATCTACAAATTCAAAGCCTACATGGGTTACATAGTAGGTTCAAGTCCAGTCTAGGAAGTTTAGTGAGACCCCATCAAAATAATAAGGAAAAGAGTGACTGGAAACACAGCTGTGTTTGCCTAAAATTTATAAGGTCCCGTGTTTAATCTCCAATAACACAAACACACATAACACACACACACACACCCCACAATGCTTAAGCTCAGGAAACATAATAAATAATAATTGGGTGTTTTAAACTGACTGGAAATATATCTACTACATTCCAAATGGGTCTGTTTGTTCACTGTTAAATATTTGGTAACAGCACCAGAGGTAGTCCAAAAAAATTCTAAACTGTTATTTATTATGACATTCAGAATGAGTGTGCTTATTCAATAAGCAATTATGAATTTTAATATTTAAGATTGATTTATCCTATCCAATATCCTCCAAGAATACATAAAAGTCTAAAGATATAAGGAGGGGAATGCCATTGTCTAAACATGTAAATTATTTACACACATGTACATACTTAGTAATAAAATGTGCAATTGGGAAAATTAAATTATTCCCCTCAATCTGTAATATCTATCAAGTCATTTCTGAGCAAATGATGGTGTTCTTTTATATGACAATGAAGACACTTACTATAATATATTCTTAGCAGTTAGCTCACTTGTTCAGAGCATGGTGTAAATGTAGAATTTGTGATATGTCTCGATATGATGTTAAATATTATTTCAGCTACTTAAATTTTATTTGAATAAGAAGTAGAATTTTTGAACATAAAACAGTTGGGTAACATTTTGAAGATACAGCTTGTACTTATACGGCTGAAGAGATGGCTAGGCAGTTAAGAGCCTGCACCTTCTCCTGCAGTGAACTCTCGTTTGGTTTCCAGCACCAGGCCATGTGACTTTCAATGGCCTGTGTCTTCTGTTTCAATGGAATCCAATGTCTCTGTCCTTTGAGGGCTCCCACACTCATGTGCACATACATCCACACAGAACACACATGCATTCACATAATTTAAAGTAATGTGTAAAAGGTCTTAAAAATTGTGGGTATGTATACCCCAACAACAGCTGCCTCCCACATAATTAAATATTTCCTACATTTGCCAGGGGGAAAGGTTGATTAGAGAAGTCTTACGCTATAACCTCTAAACTTCCCAAGGAAATTCTATGTAGATATACAGATAACAACAAATTTATCAGAATAAAGTTTTTGCCCTGCTTACGTGTGTGTGTGTGTGTGTGTGTGTGTGTGTGTGTGTGTGTACAGTCATCAACTTATGCTTTTACGTATCGGTTTTGTTATAGGTCTTTAACACGATGGGAAAACATACCTATATTTGCAGCAAAGCCTCGCATGTAACACCACAGGAGCCCCTAGCAGATGTCTGGGGTGATGCAGAGCCAGCTTTTATAAAACCAGAGTTCTGTCTAACGTGCTTTGTTTCTGTTGGTTTTCACTCTAAGCCCCAAAATCTTGAGACAAACAAATACAGAAGTGAATTACTGAAGAGTATTGGTTTTGCACTTTCTGTCAGGCAAGAGCTATTTGGTTTAAATTCCTTACTTAGCCGATTAGATCACCCATCAAGAGCACTTGCTGTACTTGTCCCTAGGTTCTCCTGAACCCTTCATTTTTCAATGAAGTGTCTGGATAATCCAGTCAATCCACAGAAATACAAAGTAGGGACAGAACACTAGGTCGCATGCCTAACAAAGCTGAATAAATCTTTGTACTTAGCTAGTGCCTTCAAACAGTACAATAACTGACGTCTGAATCAAGCTTTATGGTATAGTAGTTCCTGGCCCATTGACCCCCTTCAGCATGGTGCAGGGTGGCAAATATTTGGATTATCGATAGAGGTGCCCAGTATTGTGAATCCGTCAGCTGGATGGTGTGTGCTGCTAAGGTTCTTGCTATGGCTGTGGGGTCATTTGTAGATTCATTTTCAACTCTTCGCTCTTAATAGGAGGCTTTCACCTCACTTACCCTTACTATTCCACACACTCACTTACGAATAAATCAGGTGACCCTTTTCGCTGTTAGAGATCTTTTTGAAGATGTGAGGAGAAAGAAATTAGAGTCATCGCTAGGTATCTATTGTGGACTAGTTCCAGGGTCCCTAACACCAAGCATCTGGAAACCTGAAGATGCTCACAGCACTTAGAGAAAATTGAGGCAGAGTTTGTAGCTAACTGACCCATATCGCTTACACATACAGCACTTTAAATCGTTGCTGGGTTACATGCAATGCTTAGTACACTATAAACATTACGCTGTATCATTGAGGAGACGGTGACAAGAAGAAGAACCATGCCCCTGTTCAGCACAGACGGAGTTTCCGTGACTATTTTTATTCCGTCACAGGTAAGGAGGGATGCCTGCACTGCAGACGGTGGGTTAGTTCCAGCAATACAGAGACCACCCTAACGAGCATCAAGTTGGACTTTTCTGATTTCTAGACAAAAGAAAGAAAACACAGAAAGCAGTGAGACCACCAGTCAGTGTGGGTACAGAAAGCAGTGAGACCATTGGCCAGCGTGGCTACAGAAAGCGGTGAGACCACGGGCCAGCGTGGGTACAGAAAGCGGTGAGACCACGGGCCAGCGTGGGTACAGAAAGCGGTGAGACCACCGGCCAGCGTGGGTGATTTGCTGGCACCACCGGCCTTTTAAACACAGTCCATCTTTATTAAATTATTATTGGCTTTTAGTGGAGCACGCCGACATTTCATCTTATCTGCTGCATCGTTTGAGCTGTCCACAAAGAACATCTTGGCTGTGCACAACGAGACGATAATTCTTTTGTACTCCTGTCTGAAATTTTGGTTCAGGAGTCCATATATAATGGCATTGAGGCAGCTGTTGAAATATGCCATGTAGTAACTAGCCACAAACAGCCACTCTGGAATCCTGGGGACCATGGTGGCAGGGTCCGTGGCCACAATGAGCCCGATGAAGTTGAGTGGGGCCCAGCAGATGACAAAAAGCACAAACACGACAAACATGGTGACGAAGTTCCTGAAGTCCTGCGGCTTCAGTTTGGGTTTGCTGTCAGCTTTGACCCTCCGTCTGACCTGGAGAACCAGGATCCAGATTCTTAAGTAGCAGAAGATGACGATCACCATAGGCACGATGAAATGGAAAACCACCAATGATATCGTGTACACCGAGCTGACAGACTGGGTGAAGGTACAGGAGTAGATCCGGGGATCATACTGGAGAGTTCCGGTTTGCAGGTTGGGCATAATGACGACGAGGGTCAACACCCATATCAGGAACACATTGCAGAGGGAGTTCTTGTTACTGTATAGCCGGTCATACTTGAGACTGTGGCAAATGTAGCAGTAGCGGTTAATGGCGATCCCGGTGATGTTGAAAATTGAGGCGACGACGCTCAAACCCATCAGAAATGCGCTAATTTGACAGTGCACATAACCCAGATTCCATCCATTGTTAATTACGGAGGCCAGCACCAAGGGGTATGGGTAAATAGCCACCACGAGGTCTGCCACAGATAAGCTCACCACAAATAAATTTCCTAAGAGAGGAAGATGTGGTAAAAACACAGGTTAGCACCAGTATTATATGTACTGCATCTTTAAAGATTTATTTAATATGTATACAGTGTTCTACCCGCATGGATACCGGCAAGCCAGACGAGGGAACCAGATCTCATTATGAGTGGTTGTGAGCCACCGTGACGTTGCTGGGAATTGAACTCAGGACCTCTGGAAGAGCCGCCAGTGCTCTTAACCACAGAGCCATCTCTCCAGACCCCCTCCCCCCCGGCATTACATCGTTAAACATGTGTTAAAGAAAGAGGAATTTGGAAAGATAGCTAGTGCAACTTGCCATGCTAGCTTGAGGACTGGATTTTGGGTTTTCAGGACCCATCTGAAAGCCCTGTGGGCTCGGGTACCTACTTATAATGCCAGTGCAAAGGAGGTGGAGACATGAGATCCCCAGAGTGAGCTTGCTAGCCAGATTAGTAACGGTGGCAAGCTCCGGGTTCATTTGAGAGAGCCTGCCTCAAAACTTAGTTGTAGAGTGATGGAAGAAGACACCAATATCAAGCCCTATTCTCACACCCATGAACTTACACAAGCATACAGACAGACAGACACGCAACTATATATGTTCATGTAGCATATATACTTCCATATGCTTAAAAGGAAGGGAGGGAAGGCAGAAGAGACAAACAGACAGGGAGGGGTAGGATCAGGGAGGGACATGGGACATGTTCTTTTTGCAGCTTGGATGACCTGAAACCATGCGGCACGATTGTCATGTAATATATGAAATAAATGCCACCAATAAAGCCTCAATGTTGCCCTTGTCGACTCAAGTCCACTTTAGGAGTTTCTGTATATCCAGAACATTCTATTTCCCAAAGTATGGAATTTCGGATGAATTTCTCTTCTTGTAACCAGTCTCGAGATGCTTAGATGTCCGTGCCGTCTTTTGTCTGGGATCTCACCTGAGAAATCTGACATTGCCTTACTTGTCAAGTCAGCTATGAATTCCTTAAATTCCAGATCTCTGATCTCTCTGGCCATTCCAAAGCTTTAAAGGGGGCGATGTATCTTTGTCCTAAGAGAAAAGGGCTCCTCCATCGGTTTCTGGTTTTGAGGAGTGGCGCCATCTCTTACTAGCCATGGAACTTTGCCAAGTGCTTCACTTTGCCAAGGTCCCAGGTCTTCTCATATGATACAGAGATGTTGGATAGTGTCTCCTAGTGCCAAGTGAGCCCTAGAACAAGGGAGTTATGTCAAACACTGTGACCTGTCTGCCACCCACATGAAAATTGGTTATGTTCTGCAACTCCCTCCCTCAAAACCAAAAGGAAAGCTAGAAATCCTTTTGTATAACAAGATTAGGACATCGAACCACGCATATTCTGAATAAGTGGTAATCTGTCCTAATTGGATAACTGAACACATTTTCAGTGTATAGAAAAAAAGACTCTAGCTAAATTTTATGAGATATTCTACCAATGTAATCTTTCCTTTTTTGTGGCTTAAAAAAAAAAGCTCGATTTCTTGATATATCCCTTGTCTTCTTAATGCTCCTCAATCCAGTTTTGAAAATTTTGCTAATTTTTCAAGTCCATCCTAAATGCACATGCCCACATCCTTCTCTTATTAGCCCAACCCGAGATCAGCAGCTCCCCCTTTGAAGATGCCAAAATTAATTTATTTATACTGCACTTAATCTGGAATAGGTTATAATACATTCTGTTTGATAAGAAGTTTAGCAAATGCATATAAAGGGTTCTGGGTAACTAGTAGGAACAGATAGGAAGACAAAACTGTAACAGAATCAAGAGCAAGTTTGATGTCTGTCCTTAGAAATGGATGGAACACCAATCTATGTGGAATGACACAGGGTTGAGAATAGAAACATGACCTTGAGGGACAAGGAAGCATCTCAGGTGGTAGAAGGCTTGACGCACGGGCATAAGGACCCAACTTTGGGTCCCCGGCACCAATGTAAAAAGTGAAGCACGGTAGCACACAGCTGCAAACACAGTGATGGTAACATGGAGCTAGGTGGGGCCCCAGAGCTCACTGACCATACTTTATAGCCAACAGAGGAGTCTAGGATTAGGAGATATCTTGTTTCAAAAACGTATTGGAAGAAGATGCTCAGTAACAACCTTTTGTCCCCATAAACACACACACACATGTGTACACTTCCCACATACATACACAGCCCAACACACGTGTACCATACCACCTCCACCACCCAGAAGAATACATGGTCTTAAAACGTCAATAATTATGACAAAATGATATAGTACTCTTACCTAGTAGTGTCCTTAAGTGGGAGGGAGGGAGGGAGGGAGGGAGGGAGGGAGGGAGGGAGGGAGGGAGGGAAGGAAGGAAGGAGGGAAGGAAGAAATATCCCTACATTTCTTAGATGTAACACATGCAAACATTACAGCAAGGGGGACAAAGCCATCTGATAAACACAGCTACATAGAAACTCTGGCTTAATTTTTCCCCAACCATTTGTAAAATGAAATTAATCCAAAGAAAATTAAACAAAGGATTTAATTAATGTAGTTAATTGAGTAGTAATGAAGCATAATTGCTGTGAAAGACATGATGGAACAAAGCCACACACACACACACACACACACACACACACACATTGGACTATGACATTGTCTGTGGTTTGAATTTTAAGCTCTTTAAAAATAAGTCTCCACTAAGCCATTTTACCACACGCCATTCTGGGTGTGAACATACTGTTTTGATGCTACTTCAGTGTGTAGCTGGGTTTCATTCGATATCATTTTAAACTATTAAATATTTTGAGCTAAAATGGGCTGACTCCGGATCTGAACTATTTCACTTGTAATTTCAAATGATCTGTGGGGAAAAATCATTTGCCATGAAACCTTTATGTTAGACTCATCACCAGTTTTTCAAGAATGGACTTTTAAAGACTCTGGGAAGATGGGGCGGGGGTACAATGACTGCCGCACAAGTATGATAACCTGAGCTAACACTCCTCACACCGCTGCAAAATGCCAGGCATGGTTGCCTACACCCATGGTCCTGATGCTGGACAGGTGGCGATTAGAATCCCAGAATTCTTTAGTGAGCCATTCTAGGCAAATCAGTGAGCTATGGTTCACTGGGAGAGTGTGACTCAAAACCTAAGGTGGAGAGTAACTGATAAAGATATGCAGTGTCTACCTGTGGCCTACACACATGTGTGCAGACATGTACTGTGCATTTATCCATACATGCACACACATGCATGCATATGCATACACACATGTAACATATGCAAATATATGTACAGGCACATAGAATTTGCTTTTACAGCAATTTCTTTCTGAAAACTTTCAGTGCACTTCTTACATCATGGCTGACTGCTTTTCATCTTCCTTAATTGTAGTGAAAGAAACAGGAACATTCGGTACCAAGCTTCTTTTGTCTTAATTGTCTGCAGGTAACAACGTAATTTACATGATCAAACCCAGGCAAACATCCCTGTGGGTGCTGTTGGAGATGCAAACACACTCTCTCTGGGAATACAATCTAGAAATGGGGGAAAATGAGGTCTACAAACAAGCACGCAAATATTTGCCTTTGGAGAAGGCAGAATCTGTCTAGCTGAGACCCAGATACCCCTCCATCCCCCACCTCGATGAGCCCTGACTCTGATCATCTTCCTGGGATTACAGGCATCGGAGATAACACTTCTCGCACCCCTGTAAATGCCAGGCATGGTTACCTATGCCCACAGCCCTGATGCTGGACGGGTGGCAATACAGAATCCCAGAATTGATTAGGTCTTTGGTCTGACTTGAACAAAAGCGAATTCTAGACACTGAATGGTATTACCCTATAGGATGCCCTGTCCACTGGGATGGAACTGCTCAAGACATGCTTCTAAGGAATGTATTGTACAATGACAGGGACATGCTCTTGGAATTCGCTGGGTTGGTCATGTTTCCCACCTTAGAATACTGGTTGTGAAGGTTCATTTAAAAGCTAACTGGGTCATCCTGTGGGAGGGACACCCCTGGATGGGACATGAGTATTAAATCTGCAATTCGTCTCTAGTATTAACTTCATACCAAAGATTCGCTGGGCATAAAATCAAAGCTTTTCTTCTTACAGTCACACTAGTGACTCCTTACCAAACTGTTTGCTTCCTGTCTTCTACCTTTGCAACTTTAGGTTTCGGGCCATGGGTCACATGCATCCCAAAATATCAGTCTGTCCCAACACTTCTGTAGATTAGAACAGAGAGGCTAAAGGCTTAATTCCAAGGAAGACACTCTTTCACCAGCAAGTGAGCCCATGGTTTCATTAAACTGAAAGTGGACGCTGACGTTAATATACCTTGGGTTCCTCATTTCAATGAATCAGTGGAAAAATTTTCCAACAAAAGGGTAATGTTTCGGCCATAATAACAGAGAATTAAAGATCATTAGCTCTGCTGCGGGTGGTGGTCTTTGCTTCCTTACTACTTCTCCTCAATCTTAACCTGTTGGGAGCAGTGAGACCCCAGATCCTGAATTTCTTGTAATCCCCTGATCGGAGTGCCTACAGCTGCTCTGAGCACGAGACCTTCAGGAGTTCCTGATGGCAGGAGAGTGGTTTCTGGTGGGTTTGGCTAGGGTATGGCTATCTCTATATAATCTGCCCCTGAACACAATAAAGGGGGCATTCTTGGGGAATTCAAGGATGACCCATGTCGCTGTCTCTCTGTCTGTGTGTGTCTGTGTATTTTAACCTCCAGCCCCCTTGCCCGAAGTTTGCGAACTGGGTGCCAGCGCACAGAGTGCAGACACGGGGGTGCAGCGCGTGGCATTAACCTGTCTGTGAAAACTTCAAAGTAAACAATTCAATTGTACTAAATAGTAGCTCCAAATCACTAAATCCAAAAGAGAATCACCCTAATTATTTATAATAAGAAAATCATGCTGCTTGTTTACATATTAAAATTAAACCAAAGATAGGAAATGAAAGAGAAAGACTAATGATAAAACAGTATGAAACAAGATTTTCATAAAAG